AACAACAACAACAACTGCCCATCTTCGTTGTTGCAAGGTTGCAGCAAAGCCACGCAAGCAAGCAAGCAAGAGCTGCCAGACATTCATCACACAACTAAGACAAGTTGGAAATCGTGGGCACTGCTGCAAACTCGGCATTTCCACATGCCGAGGCAAATTGTGTGGCAGTGCGGAGTTCTCCCATGGTGTGGAATATAAGACATGTACTGGCGAATGCTCGGACCTGCGTCCACGAGACCACGACTCTACTACATAATCCCCATCAACCACTTTATGCGAACCAAACGAACAGTCTGGGGAGTTTTAACTCTCTCGGTTGTCACGTCTGCCTTCTTTTACTTCCGTTTTACTACAACTACCATCGATTTCAGAAAACACAACAACATCTTTTCGTGGGGACAGGCACAACAAGCACAAGCACAACTTGAAGCCGGCAAAATGGGTTGTCATTCTCCTTCCGACATAGTGCCGCAAACCCGCGATGCACTGAGCCGCGAACCACACTTTTGCTTTTACGTCGGCACTCCAGACCTGCTCGAGCGCCGCAGCAATGAAAAGGCATCATACATTCTGACCTTTAAAGAACAGCAGCAGCAACAGCAGCAGCAGCAGAATTCCTCCTCCTCCTCCTCGTCCAAAGTCCTCGTCCTCCTCGACGGCTTCGACAAAACCCGCACCTTCTCCCCCGACGTCAATGATACCCTCGGCGTCGAATTCCACTGGCGCGACCCCACCTCCGATCTGCCCTTCGTCTCGCCGCCGCGCATCTACTTCGTCTTGGACCTTTGCGAGTCCAGCCGCCAACGCTTTCTTCCTTCGCTCATGTCCCTGCTCGGGCTGGCGCTGGGTCCGCAAACGGTACCCTCGCAACTAGATTATGTTGTGCATGAGGACTTCCTTGCCGCGCTGAACGCCATTGACGCGGACCCTACGGGCAAGGGTGATCTGGCGGCTAGTTTCGCCTCGTTGGCGTCGGAGCTTCCACCAAACTTGTCTCCGCTGCACCCCGGCGCGGACTCGGCCGTTCTAAGGGAGTTCTTGCTCGTTTTGGCGGATAGAACGGTCTGGTCCATGTATGGCAGGCTTAACAGCTCGGCGACGAAGCAGTTCTTCGAGCTGGTGAAGATGCTCGCTTCCTCGGGGGGGACCGCCACCACCACCAGATACCAACACCTATTGCCCCAAAACGGACAAGAACGATAAGAAACAAACTTCCACTGACAAGACCCTCAGATAGCATGGACTGCAACCTCTCTGAACAAGAACGATAAGAAACAAACTTCCACTGACAAGACCCTCAGATAGCATGGACTGCAACCTCTCTGACAACAACAACAACAACAACAACATCCCCAGACGATGGAGCGGCACTGGGTCCTTGCCTTGTCTTTTGCGACCGGAGCAAGGATCCCCGTGGAGAGCTTGCACGGAGTAAGGTAGGTACTGCGGTAGCCGCCGGAGGCTACAATAAGGTAAACACTTCATGCCTCCCGTTGTGGTAAAGCAGAAGCATTTGTTCAAGGATGCGTTCCACGGCAGGCAGAGTATTTTAATGACAGGTTCAAAGGGCAAAGACGTGAGATTCAAATTATAAGTGTTGATGATTGTGATTGGTAATCTAGACTGGGTAGTGTAGGTACCTTAATAATGAGGGTGGTCAGCTTAACCTTTGCAGGCCGTGACCATAAAAGCAAAGGCCTAAAAAAGGGTTTGAAGGAGGCTCGAAAGGTCTACAAAAAGGTGCAAAAGTTCTGGTGCGGTTGCCAGTGGCCCCAGTGGGGCAGGCGCAGGTGTAGATTGGCGGTCAGCCCTGTAAACACCAGAGCCTCCTGTCCACAACAGAGACAAGCTTGAATGCCCAATATAGGCCATATAGCACTTGTCTTTTTTTTTTTTTCCTTCCTTTCCCGCCATACGAGAACTTTGCCAATATGGTGGACGGGGTTTCCACGCCACGATTAACCAAACCAATCCTGTCCGAGAGCAGCTTCCCATTGCAGATTTCCAAGACAGGTGTCCCGCTTTTTCAAGTGTGACCGTATCGGAAGGTTATAGATATCGGCGCTCAGGTTCTTAAGGTAATCCGGATCGCTTGCGTCGAGCTGGCGTTTAATCCTGGGCTCCAGCGGATAAGTTACTATCTCGCCCGCTGAGGATTCGGCCTTAAACTGGCCGTCTAAGAACTCGAGTCTTTTTTTTTTTTGAGGAGCGAGGTTGAGCCTTGCGGCCTGCGGCCACCGGGCATTCATGAGGCTGATGTCAGGCATTGAGACTCTGCTAAGCCTCGGCAACCCTAACCCAGAACTATGGGCAAATGTCCGTGTGACAGGTGGACCGCCCCGCTGAGACTGCCCCACATCCTGGTGCCTGACTAACCATGGCATTAATCGTTTGGTTGCCTTTCGGCCTGCTTCCTGATTTGCTTATGTATATCACACCATGGCGCGCGCTGGTAGTCTGAGTCGGAGGTTGTGGATTGACCGAATCACCTCGCCGTCCTACGAACCAAAGTTGGTGTAGAAAAGGGCTGTGATTCTGTGGTGATAACGGAAGAGGAAAACCTGAAACCAGGGCAGGCGAAATACCCATGAAGGGAGTGCCGGTGAATAGGAAGCGCGTTGAATGAGAAGCGCGTTGAATGGGCGCCCAGGGCACCGGTTGATGTGAGTATGTAGTCTGCCATCGCCGTAACAGATTATAGGCACGGTACAAGGCGGCGTTTATCGAATTCCACTTTCCCGACGCCAGGCTGTGCCTTACATTACGTCCGAGAGAATGGGTCCATATTGGCCCAGCCGCATTTGACCTTCTAGGCTCGAGAGGTATCATTACTGCATTCTTATATGGCTACTTCTTCGGCCATGGGTTGAGCAGGGGGAATTTGGAGCTCAGATTGACCTCAAACTGGTCTTCGTTCGTAATCACTGACAAAGACCAGGGTTTATTACGCCACGAAAGCCTCTTCTCTGTCTCTCTCTGTCTATTCTTATGCCTCTATCCGTCTCCTTCGAGCTCCCAAAGACTGGAAGAGATAAAAGGGTAATCCCCTACGGCGCCTGTCCGCTCAAAGCCTCCCGAACATTACCCTTGCATCCCCTGCCTTCAACCCCCTATCTTCTTCCTCCCTTTCCCTCCCTCTTCTTCCCTCTTCCTCCCTCTTCCTCCCTTTTCCTCGCTATTCTTCTAACTTGCTCTTCCTCTACCTTCCCTCACTTATTATCATGGAACCTGGTCTATTTACTAAGAAATATGACCGCGACGCCCCTCCCGGCAGCCAGGAAAGCACCGCCACGTCTTCCGACGAGCTGCCCAGCCATGGCTCCGCACCCTCCAGCCCCGAGAACTCCGACAGCTCTGACCAGAGCCAGTCCCCAGTTGATGGGGACACAATAATGGTCCAGTTGAGCGAGTACGCGTCCTCGGACGACGCACTCCGTCGTTCTAGCCGCCACAAAATGCCCTCCAAGAGGGCCGCTGGCCAATGAGTGGACACTCAACCCCCTCTCGTGATAGCCTGAACAATTCCAGACTGCGTGTCCTTCAGGCTAATGTAGCACGAGCACGCGACACGCACGAAATTGCCCTCCAAGCTGCTAGTGAGGCTGGAGCGGACGTGATTATGATTCAAGAGCCACGGGCGTGGTTCAACGAGGGCCGCTTTGGCATTCCCGGGCACCCCCTCTACGCTCTTTATACTCCTGTCCGCACATGGACAAACGAGACTGCTACACACCCACGCATCGCCACATATGTTCGCAAGGCATTGGCAGCGGGAGGATTCACACTCGGCCATACCAGAGATCTACTATGGGTAAAGATGCAGGGTGTCACTTTCGTTAATATTTACCGCCGGTCAGGCGACGCTTCGGCCCTCGAGCTACTGCAAAATTGGCAACCGACGACAAGGACACTCCTCGCTGGCGACTTCAATGCCAAACACCACTCCTGGCAACCTGGCGCGGAGACATCGGAAGGTGCCACGCGAATTGTGGATTACGTTACAGAGCATAGGCTGGATCTGCTGACAGCCCCTGGCGTTTCTACCCACAACCGTGGCAATACTATCGGCCTTACCTTTTCGAACATACCGCTCTGTTCATCAAGGACTGCTCCTGAAGCGGACTGTGGCTCTGACCATCAAGTTTGCATCACGGACATTCCCATCCAACCGGTAGAGCCTCCACGCCGTCGGCTGA